ATTACGTCGTTGTGACTGTGATGTCGTGTGTTTTTCTTTTGGTCGGTTTCCGGTTTTAAGAAAATCGAATCCAACGACGAACGGTCGGCGGCACTTTCATTTTATCGAACAACCACCTAATCCTTCTGTATGTTCACCAATCGAACATAACGTTATTTCGTTATTCATTTGATTTTGCTCGTTTCATTCTTTTATAAAAAAAAACCACATGCTTCGGATGGAGTTCTATTTTTTTTCTCCCGTTTGGTTATTAGATTTGGTTTAGCTGTCGCATACATGGAGAAAGGTTTGATTTTTTTCACTTTGTCGATTTATCAAACTAAAAGAAATATAATCGCAACTATTTTATATAATGTGCCAGTTGTGCTTCAACAGAGTGGTTCAATATTTTTTTTTTCTCTATTGCACGTGAGCTAATAACTTCGCTTTCAACCTAATTTTTCCCATTTTGGTTTTTTTATCTGTTTTTTTTTCTACTTCTGAAGATCACTGGCACTGAGATTGAACTGCTCTGGACAACTGCACTAAACAAATATGAGCTGCAATTTTGTCGCTCCATTTTCGAACAACATTCTCAACGTGTCTTAGTCAACTTAGTTGGGCTTCGATTTTGGTTGATCCCACTGAACGAGTGCGATAGTGTGAATGTGTCGATTTAGCAGCGTTGAGATTTAAAGGTGTTTATATTCACAAATTCCGGATATTTATTCAATGAAAAATAAAGTCACATCATAAAATATTATTTGCTTCGTGTGGATTTTCTCATTGGTTTTGGTATGAGCCACAATACTAGCTCCTGCTGATATCTACTAACATCGAATCCGTATTTAAGCTTTCTAACAGCATTACACCAACTTACGACTTTCTTTGCACGTTTGACATCTTGATTATGTGTATATGTGTGCGGTTCTTGCATTTTCCGTTGCTTTCAGTCCATTTCGAACAGCGTTTGGCACTGCCAAGATAAAGAAAAGTTCCACACGAAAAAGTTACAGAGAGAGAGAGAGAGAGAGGGAAAACCAGCGAAAAGAAGAAATCAATGTGAACGACATTGGAGCAGAAATAATATCATTTTTAGTAAAGCTGCTCGCGTACAATCTGCTGAACTTCTTGTATGTGTGTGTGACTTTCTTTCAAATATTTGCCAAGTCGAAAATCGCTTAGATGTCACGTTCTCCTTCCCCTTCTGCATCCCGAACGTGGGTCTTTGCTCTGCCTTGACTTGACTCTTTTTCGGTGTGTTTTTGCCGTTAGTGCGGTTAATATGGAATCTGATGCAGATTGTAATTCGTTGTGTTTTTTCTTGTTACATAGTACACAGGGAATTATGGTGAATGTCTTTATACACTCAAAGTATAAATAATGATGAATCCCTCCGAATGTTAATTTTTGAAATGTATCATATCAAAAAGATCAAGAGCAGCTGCTTTGTAGTTGAAAGCTGCACAAACTTACGAAACTCTGCGATGAAATTCAATTGGATGTGATCAATGAAACGGAGAAAGATTTCTTGTAGCTTCTCTATCATTTACACTAACTATGATGCATATTCCTTTGAATAAATGATTTTCAATTTCCATTGAGTCTGACAGCTTCATGGAAATATCGATGAGATTGAATTCATTTAATATAATTGGCTTCGACTTCCATACTGCACTTTCATTTCGAAATGTTCTACTGATTTTGAGAGAATGAATTCGTACCTATTCTTGGATTAATCTTAAATCAGACCAATGCTCTTATGCCCTACTTTTTCAACCGAGCAATAATTAATGCAAGATCCATCAGCCTCTAGTTGTCTTCTTCAAATATAGTAACTGAGCTGCAGTTGAACCGACCATTTGTGAAAAAGTGGAGAAACAATAGCGACTCTCCTGAGATGAGGGACAAAAGTATATTTCGGTCGATCGGAGAATTGCTGCAAATGTTTATTTTTGTCTTCTTTCGAAATTGATGATGCAGTAGGCTTTTAAATTTGTGGCAATCGCTTCCCTTTTTTTCCCGACATTTCGTGTTCATTTTTGCTACCAAGGCATTGATGTGTGCAGTGTGCCCAATCCTTCTGCTGTATATTGTTTCCGTTGGAAATGGTTTTCAAACATATTGAAAGCGTTGCACGTACGACAAAAACACATGGCACCCAGAGCAATATATCCATTAATGTGCCAAGTTCTTCCGAATTTTCCAACGTTCGTGTCTCTCTGTGTGTGTCATTCCGTACAATGAGAAATGAAAAAGAAGCGAGAAAGTGAATCGAAACTAGTCGACACAACGGAAATAAAACCCAATAACACACACACACAGACTGTCAAACGGAGGGAGAGAGAGAATAAAAACGTTTTCGGTCGCAATAGAGTGAGTGAGTAGAGAGAGAAGCAGAAAATAGAGTTCTCATTTTGGATACGTTGTTGACGACATGTGACGGCCCACAACATTATCGGAAAACAATCAAAATAACTTGGTTATTTTATCTGACCGCCTTTACTTGTACATCGAACATCGCATGTGTCTTGAGCGATTTTTATTCGGGAAACGACAAACAAACTGTCGTAGCATAATGCAGGGAAACCTATCATCATTACAATAAAATTGAATGTTTTCGATTCGACAATAGGGGAATCGGCTGCGTTGATGTGAGAGCGGAATTTTTTGTAATTGACACACACTTACTGCCAATTTAAGGCGATCCTCGAAATAACACTTTAATTGTCCTACTATTTATGGCTTCTACGCCACAAATTGAGCACAGTTTTAAATAAACCGCAGACAATCAAAGTTTTGACATTGTTTCATGTTAACTGATTAACGAAGAGAACAAAAAAATCGATTAAACCCGTTCAGCGACAAACGGATTAAAAAGACCGCTGGGAAGACGACGGCCTTTTTGTTAATCTAATTTTTCTCTCGTTTCACATTTTTTTCTTGCTATTTTTTTTCCACCGCATCAATGAACTCGACGGACTTTGTAATCGCCGCTTCAAATTATTCATCGTCGCAGTGAAAAAGTTTTATAATCGCTTTACTTCAGTCGCCAAGTCGCTCGTTCTTTGTGAACATTTCATTTTCTGCGTATTATTTTTATGCGTGTAATCACTGTGGTCGCGCATACCTTTTGAATGTCATTGCTACCATTTCTAGTCATTTTGTAATAGGAAAAAAACCGCACAAAAACTTCGAGCTTGATATACACGAATGTTTTTGTACAACAAGTGTAATGGCCGATTTTATTCATTGGTGCACATATTTTTGCACGCTACAGTGAATTCATTGAACGTTTTTTTTTTCATTTGGAGAAAGAACTTGTGCCAAATGATTCATTGAATTTTTTTTTAAATCAAACGTGCACTGGTTTTAGCGAAACAAACGACAGTGTAATTAAAAGTGTGGGTCAACACTCGAAAAGAACCGACAACACCTTAGATTATGCACTTCAAATAGCAGCAGTGACTAAAACGATGACTTGATTCAATTTTTTTACCGTTTTAACACATCGCACGTTCTTATATATCTTATCAGATTTTATGGCACATTTGAACGCCGAAATTTTTTTATATAACAAATGGACAAAAAAAACTACATGATCAAATCGTCGATTTATTGTACGTTATCCGAGATCAATGTAGACTGCTTGATTGCGAATTGAATTCGAACAATTTCACATTCACTTGTTTAGTAAACAACTATGTTTATCTCAAGTATTGCCCATGTTCAAGGCATTCAAAAGGTGGTCACCACAAAGATTACAAGTGACAAAGTTCAAACTTACTGGGTTCGCTTGTACTGTACTATATTTGGCAAATTACTCAATTAATTAGCTTAAACAGCGGCGAATCCAGTGATGTCCAGTGAAACTTCAAGCATTCTTTCTTTATCAAATTCAATGAAATGAATGAACTTTTTATAATTGCACATTCGAATTCATTCATTAATTTGTTATCGTGTGTTCAGTTTTCAGAAAAATTTCCCATTTGGGCGAAAATACTGGAACGTCAACTTTTAAATTTTTTGGTTTTTTTTCATCAATTCTTAGTTAAGGTTAATGTTTATCATTCTCATATGAAAATAGGCACCAAGACGCAACTTTTTTGTGAATAAAGTTTCCCTTCTGGCCTAGAGAATTTGTATGTGAATTACTATATTGAAGTTCAAGGTCCAAAGAATCGATTGGAAAACTTGCATTTACACAAAAATGTATTCTGGAGTGTTTTCTGGCCGCAAATAGGTGACTGGCTACATCACGAAAAAAAAAGAATGTAACTTCACGTTTTTTCCATAAAAGTCCAGTTCCAGTCCCTTTTAAAGGGCTTTAACTCTTGATCTACGATACTTGAAGATGAAATTTGTTCACAAAAAAGTTGCGTCTTGGTGCCTATTTTCATATGAGAATGATAAACATTAACTTTAACTAAGAATTTATTTTATTTTTATTTTATTAAACACCGTCAAGCTCTGGCTGAATATAATGTGGGCTTTGATTATGATTTGGCCGGAAAAGAGTGCTAGAAAGAGATTTATGAAGAGAATCTCGAACAACCAATTTTTCGCGTAACGTTCCAGTCGGTATTTTTGCCCATATATTTGATTAATAAAAATATATTTGTATTACATCATTACGTTTGAATGAAAAAATTGGTTTTGATTTCTAAATAGAGCATTCGTTTGATAAACAGAAAAAAATCGTATTTTGGTCACCTAAAATAATCATTTCATCGATCGCTATTGTTGTACAAAGAGATTCTGTAGTAAATAAGTGCGCAATTTTCTATTTCACAATACAACAATTCAAGAGGTTCAACGGAACAAATGCGATAATAATCTATTGATTTTACATCGATGAATGATTTTAAAATGATAATTTTGACGTGAGTTTCGATTGTTCACATTGCCACAATAGAAAGATAGAAGAAGATTTATTGACATTTGCACAACAGCACATCACATTTTGGGTATATGTGAATGGGCACCGGTAGTTTATCTAATCGCTAAAAATCACAAATGATTAGTTCGTCTGATAGATGGCAAAGGATATAAAAGCGAGCACTAGTGCCAGCCATGGGGTAGTACCACTCTGCACGGGAAGTGAAAGTAGTGAAAACGGTTTAAAAATGTTCAAAACAACTTTGGTTTTGCTGGTAGCAATGCTGGCCACCACAAGCAGTGCATTCGATTTGAATGAGTTTGTCATCAATCCGAGAATTGTGCAAGGTGAAAATGCAACTAAAGGACAGTTTCCCTACTATGTCTTCCTTAAAATACAATTAAGTCAAGGAAATGCTGCCTGCGGTGGTTCCCTTATCTCAGACGAATGGGTCGTTACAGCTGGTCACTGTTTGCATGGAGCCTCAGGTGCCGAAGTTCATTTGGGTGCATTGAAAGCAAAAGAATTGACCGAAGAAGGTCGTGTCATACTGAAAGTCCCGAAAGAGAATCTTCATGTGCATCCACGTTATTTCCAAGCTGTTGTATGGAAGTGAGTATTTGATTAAAGCCCGTATTTTTGTAAGTTTTTATTTTTTTTCAATTTTTTCTTGATATTTTACAGCGATATTGGATTGATTAAGCTGCCAGAAAAGGTGAAATTCAGCAACACCATCAAACCAGTGAAATTGGCTTGTTCATCATCTAAAAATATGGTTGTTACTGCCATTGGAAACGGTCTCATGAACACAACATCCAAAGAAATTGCTCCAATTTTGCAATTCACCACATTGAAAACGATTCCATTGATGCAATGCTTGCCAGACTTCCCAATCTTATTGTTCAGAAAGTCAGTCATCTGCGCTCGTGGTGAGCAACAAAAGAGCACATGCCGTGGTGACTCTGGAGGACCATTAGTTGCTGGCAATAGCGGCGCTTTGGTCGGTTTGACAAGCTTTGGCTCGGCTTTGGGATGCCATCTCGGTTACCCACAAGGGTACACTAACCTTCCATCATACCTCAAATTCATCCAGCAAGTCACCGGAATTTCGGATTGTCAAAAAGAAGTGAATTAAATATATGGAAAAGAAAATGCAATGATTTTTTACATAAACACCAATAGTATTAGAGTGAATAAAACTCTCTACAAATATTAAAAAAACAAGTTTTTTCACTTTATATATGTTAAATGACCTGAACAGCAATAATGGAAACGCCAAGATCAATACAAGTGGCCAATGAATTGTATACATTGAAAAAACGAAGATTTATTATTAGACTCAGTTATAATTAGATGTTCTGAAGATAGATCGAAGATTATCATTTAATTAGGAGTTTACAGAAAGAAAAGCGAAAGAAAATGACCATTTTCTCAGCTTCTTTCCATTGCTAATGAAAATGAAATATGAAGAGCAATTGATAATGATTTTTGCAAGCTTCATTGCCATTGATATAATGAAGCAAACGGTTTATTTGCACCAGTGCAACAAAAAGTTGGTATTACACGTTGCACTTTAAAGCAAAAATATTCCGAAGCCAACTTTTTGTTGTACCGAGTCATTTGATAGAGAAGCTTCAAGAAGAAATTATAATTATAGCCTAGAAATGAAAATTTTACACAACGAAAAACATTTTTATGATTTTTTTTTGCAGAACTAGTTCACTTGTTAAACTGAATTGTCAACCAATGAAGCAAGAAGTGAACAAGCAAATTATAAGCTGCGATTCCGATGTAAGCACTTGTATATTGTTATATCATTTAGGCGAATAAAAATATCTCGAACCAGTAGTAGATTTCCTAATAAATTTCATCAATTCGAAATCAATGATGTCATGAATTCGTATCAAACCACTCACTGTCCGACCGAATTTAATGTGAGGATGAGTATTATTGTGAATTATCCGTAAAAAAGGTGTGTTTCTCTGAGTCAGTGACAAACAATTGACATTTATTGACTCATTAAAAGAGAGTAGTAACCATATTGATATTTTGAAATACGTCTTAAGCATCAGCAAGTTCAGACTTATCGAAATACAAAATTAAATACAACGTTCGAGCTGTTTTCAAACAGATGCTCCGAAATGAATTCTATTCTTATGTAACTGTAAAATGTTACCATTAAATTTTTTTATCTAAAATATATTATCGCTTAGTTGAAATAGTATGAATCTTAAACTGTTGGCTCCTTTTGAACTGATAAAGCATTGTTAGTTAGATCCGAATGAAGATTTAATACAAATTTCTGCGTGCGAAAAAAGTATACTTTTTCGCGTAGCGCGAATAAAGCGATCCGCCCAATTTCATTGAAAAAATTGGTACATTTCTGTTAGAGTATTGTGGGAAGATGTTAATTTCATGAATTTCTGCAGTGCACAAGAAAAAAAGTTGTTTGTACGGTGGGCTCTTGGTCTATTTTTGATTGTTTATTCAAATTTTCATCAAGTGTGTTGCAACAGTGAATTGAATCTAAATTCCAAATGGCACAAAACATTGAATTCTTAACAACAATCATCTCGAATCATCTTTGCAACACGAAAAAAGGCTAATTGAATTTGTTGTTTAGCCTTCTTCGGCTATTACACGATACGATTTGCAACGATTTCTGATTTTGTTTTCTTTTTATGACAATCGGTTGTCATCACACTGAATGTTTCATGCACAATCGTGTCTCCGCACACCAACGTGATCACACGCAATGAACGCAAACAAACGAAGTGTGTGCAAGGAATTGCCATATTCAAAGGGTACAAAAGCGACAGTTGAAATAAATCACAGACAAGAAAATTCACAAAAAATAACCAAAAGTACATACGGACAACGCAGGCCAACGGTACGGATAAGTTCGGGATTACCAATGTAATTCTTTTTATTTGCGATTGAAATTGGCAAATTTGAAAAATTATTTGCATGACAAACACTTTATTTGCAGAATATTTGCCATATTTGCGATACTGTCTTCTACGCCAGTAGCGCCTCTGTCGAAAATACATGCCATTCTTGAATATTCACGCAAACATATTTGCTATATTTGTAAATACGTCGCATATTTGTAAGCATTTGCGAGGTATTTTGATTTGATCTTCCCCCTAGGTGGAAAATAACGGGTTTTGTTCGGTGAATTTTTGAGAGATATAATAAACCAATTGCTCCAGACCGAAATGAATGTTCTGTAGTTCATTTGGCTTCATGCAGCAGCTAGTCTTCACTAATATTTCAAGTATTTAAAGAAAAAAATTCTCACTCATTTTAACGTCATTAGTTTATTTTCCTGAAAATTTAGAAAATTGCATTTCAAAATGGTGAAAGTCGAGGTTTGTAAACATACGTGTTTGTTCCCTCTCGAGAGTCACACGAAAAAGGAGCATGATGAACCGACTAACTTAAACTTCAATTTATCACATTGAAAAACATCTCACCATAAAATTTGAGCGATATGCCGTGTGGGCTTTAAATGTTTTTTTTTCTCATCTTCTCTTTTTTCTTTTTTCTGAAAATAGTTCTTTTCCTTTTCTTTCTTGATTTTTACTGTCGCACAGTTTTTAACAAGTTGTTCAATCCCCCTGCTCGAAAAAAAACTGAACTTACGCATACGCATTCATAAACGCATTCATACACGCACACATCAACAACACCATGCCAAAAGCAAAAAATAACGGTTTCAAACGCGATATTGAGAAATCTGCATCAAATCCAGATTTTGCAATCAAAGTGGTGGAGGCTTTGCTTACGGTAGCGGAGAGTGAAACTGTTTCGTCAGCACGTTGATCTTGTGTGCGTGGTGAGGACTCGATGCTGCTTGTTGACGAGTCGGCCCAATCATTTTTTTTCCATCCATTATGATGATGCTTTTATGAAAACTATAATAATGAAACGTTCAAGAATAATATTCAAATGAATATAATATTCATCACTTATTTTGTCAGTTTGTTGATAACCTTTGATGCACAAATCTTCTAATGATTGAAAAATGTCTATTGTTTCTTCTTTTTCTAATAGTGTATTTAATTTAGAACAATTTAATGCAATTTGTAATATTATATTATATAAACGTTTAGTATTTCTAAAATTGAAATCAAAATTTAAAAATGCTTCTTTTATTAAATTTATTTGGTGTACCAAATAACTAAATTATTTGTCATGATCTGTAGACATCTTACTTGTTCAAATGCTCGAATAGTAATGAACATGTTTTCAATGTGTTGGCTAACTGTTGAATAATAAAATGATATCTACTTTGCATTTCAAACTAACTCTTTATCTAATTTCAAACTTCTCTTTCAAATCTTTCCATCTATTTTCAACTAACTATATACGCGATATTGCGCTAACTATTTTATTCTCTGTGCTAATTATTTTCACATTTTTACTAACTGCTTTCTAAATAATCCGAAAAAAATGGCGAAAAAATATGACGAGGCAAATTTAGTACGCGAAAAAATAAAAATTACACTTGATTTTACAGAGGAAAATTCCATCTGGTTTTGCTGCATAATGGCATATAACTACATGGCATTATGCACACAGTAGAAACAGTAAATACCGGCTGGCGTGGCGCCCATAGAACGCGGGCTGTATTTCGACTCGGAAAAATTCACAAAATTTTTACGGTGTCACTTCAACAAAGTGTCGGTGCAGTTCGCCGCAAAAATTTACGAAGTGGGGCTGGCACTACTCCAACGTGGGTATGAATATAATAAAAGTAAGTATTTTTTTTATACAAAAAGTCTACTAAGTGGAAGTTTGTCAAAGGATGCAATAAACCAAGTGCCACACACTGAATTGAGCCGCTACATTGAAAACAACATAAAATGTCACTTCGATAAAAAGAATGTTGACATCGAAGTTTACATTCGAATTGTTTTCAATTCGCATGAAAGCTTCGAGGTCATGCCCGAAATGAAGGCTCTCTTCCCTGCGCTTGGTGGTCGAAACAGCGAGTTTCGTTATCAAAGCAAAATGTTGATGGCTTTCCAAAAAAATGGAAACAAAATAATATGCTCCTTTGCTATTTGTGTGCAAGAATACGGCAAAAAATGCGCTGCTCCAAACACAAACTGTGTATACATAAGTGTTTTGGATTCAGTCAAGCTGTTCGAACCGGCTGAGCATCGTACTGAAATGTACCGTCAAATCTTCCTTGGCTATTTATCGTATGCTCGGTCGATTGGTTACCAAATGGCTTACATCTGGTCGAAGCCTCTTCCTGCTCCAAAGCAGAAATCAGATTTAACTGGATATCTGTTCTATAGCCGTCCCAAGGACCAAGGTTTCATTGAACAGGATTCTCTCAATGCATGGTATGAGACAATTATTGAGTGTGAGGCGTAGAGAAGAAGCTCCCAAGCAGTATAAACAAAAACTTCAATGCGTCAATGAAAACATTCCATAGCGACTGCTTGGAAGGGCCGGTTGAAAATGGTGTTGACCCTCACCGAACAACGAAAAACAAGCGAATAAATACAAAGCAAAAATCATCATTCCGTGATTCCCTCGTCTAGATAAGGTCTAGAGACGGTTGGAAAACAGCGACAACTTCGACGACAAGAACAACAAACTAAAAACAATGGACCAATTTATAGAAAATTTAGACGGACCAATGCAGGACGAATCCATGATTTTAGCCAAATTCGTGATTGCATTCAAAAATGAAATAGACGAAGATGTGGTCGATAATTATCTACGAGCTTTTAGTGACCCCGACCATTCAATAACCGTCTACAGTGGCACACATGGTTCGGCTGATGGTAAAAATTGGCTTATCGACAATGACCGTAGAGTTTCGTCAATAACCGTCGAATGTATACGAAACCCAGAATTACTAGACAGCAAGTTTCTTCGAGATGATCCGAAATATTTTCAAAGACATGAATTGCAGACATAAGACTGTTAATGCTAAAGACATGAACTTTTTCCAATTTTCTAATATACTGAAGAACGGAGAGAATTCCGTAATTTATTCTATCATCATTTAATACTGCATAAGACAAAACAATTGATATATTGGTAATCTATATATTTAAAACTGAATGTTCGTCTCTCTCTCTGTGTGTGTATGTAGCCAGTTATCTCTCCTTTTGTACAATGTACATTAATGTGGATTGATGGCAATGAAATATCCAATGCGTATTATTGTAAAAGAGATTTGAATTCATTTAAAAATAAATAAATTGAAAAAATTCATAATTCGCATCAGGACAAACCATACATGAGTGAAATTTGTTTTGAATGAAATTAAAATGGGGAGACACACGTAGATTAGCTTTTTATAGAGTATCTTGGAGAATTGTGTAAGCTTGAAACACTGAATTAAAAACGACCAGACATAGAAAAGTATTAATGGTTTCCAAATGTTTATTGTTGCCACAACGTCAGGACAATGTACATATTTTGAAATGAGCGGTAGAAAAGAAAATAGTGAATTAATAAAAGATATATGATAATTAAGAAAAAAATTAGAAGGTTAAATAAATAGGTGATGGTGATGAGTGATTGGAAAATGAAAAGTGTCTAATAAGACAATTAAAGATAAATAGAAAGAACAACAAAGCGAGATATTGGAAAATCAGTAGAACGAGACAATATAAGATCGGGGGAAATGGAGAGAGAGAGAGAGAGAGAGAGAGAGAGAGAGAGAGAGAGAGAGGGAGAGAGAGAGAGAATAGAATCAAGTGAAATACGATACAAAAAGAACAATAGAGAAATAGAAGAAGAAAGTGAAAGAGTGGATCGAAGAGCACTGGGTGGGGGAAAGAAGAGAATCATTCGAAATATTGATAAAAGTTTATGACAAATGATGAATAGATAATTGAATGAGAGGAGATTGTAAATATTTGATGTCTCAAAGATGAAAAAGCGACTAGCGCCCGAGCCGAGCGAAGCGAGGCGAGATAGCTAGTAAATAATAAGAACCACAAAAAGCAACGGACATGTTGCAGATAACCAACACAAAAAATCAACACTTTTTAATGAGCCATTGAGTCATTCCCAAGCTTGACTATGAGAAAATTCAGAGGAAAAATTGATTGAGCCACTCCAATTGAAATTTTCTATTGTTGACTGAAGACAGGCACATCAAATGCACCAAGAGACAGAGAGAGAAAGGAAAATCGGTTGGAAAATCTAAGAGTTATCGCATTTCACCAGGGCGGATGTGATCACACACACATACATTCAAATCCTGGACCCCTGGAGAACTGCTCTAACGTTTGCATACATTGCTCGATTTTCGTTTTCTCAAAGGATTTGGATTGGTACAAACAATACCTATCCAACGCATGATTATCAGATAAAAAATCGGCTGGAAAATCGAAGAGTTAAGGCAGTTCAATGTTTGAAATGGAAAAAAAACTTGAAGCAAATGTTCGAGGGTTGAATAAATTCAGTTGAATACTTGTGAATTTGCTGACGTAAAAAATCCGGAAGATTCACTCGGGCATACACCACAGGCCATAAGTTTGGATACCCCTATGAATGAATTTGGCCCAAAATTTTTAAATTTCAAACCGCTTGTCCAATTTCAACATGCTATACGTCGTTGGAAAGGTCTCAAAGAGTACGTATCATTTTTGGTATTAAACATCAAAATCGGCCAGCTTTTGGCCAAGATATGGCTGATTGAAAATTTCGGCCAAAAATTACAAACGGCCATATCTTGGCCAAACGCCGGCCGATTTTGATGTTTAATACCAAAAATCACATCTACTTTTCAAGACCTTTCCAATGGCGTATTTAACTTTTCAATCCGATGGCCCGTTTAAGACTTCGATTTTGGCTCCCACAGCTTAAAGGCCAAAAGATGGCCATAGGCCGGCCAAATGTTATCTTCCAAATCATCCATTCGGTCAGAATTTCGATATATTTCTTATTCAATACTAAATTTCAAGTGAAAAGGTTCAAAAAACGTAGGAACAAACGTTTCATATCCAAACTTATGGCCTGTGGTGTATATTCAACTGATTGTTCGTCTTGAGTTCAGGTTCTTCCAGAACATCGAACTGAACGGACATACTTCAACTACTCTCCCGAAAAAACTGGTAAATTCTTATTCTTATTTTTTTTCATTTTTTTTGTGTTCAAATTGAAATTTGGAGTATTTTATTGGGTTAATGTTATCTTCATTTGGGGTTACGGAACGGGCATGAAGGTGAGTTTATTTAAATTTCTCCTGATTACGACCGGCTTACCCCATTTTAAAAACCTCTCCTTGACCTTCTGGTGCCAAGCGCGACAGGAGTTGTATTGTTTCCGCGGTAAATAAAGTGTTAGATTCGCGTTTAAAATCGATAGGGAATTTAAAATTTATTTTAGTTAGTCCGCGTTATTTTCAAATCGTTTAGGGAATTAGGGCAGTAGTATTGTCGTGTATTTTTAAATTCGTTTGTATCCGCGCGTGCGAGTGATTTTATTCTGAAGCAGCGTTGAGGTAAGTAATTATTATTGTTTTTTTTTCAATTTTTCTTCTTTATTTAATTATTAAGTTGCATCGAAAGTGGAGGAAATAGCACTTTCAGGGGGTAACGGTTTGGCATTCCTAACGAATGAAAATTTTCGTCCTTATTTTAAAGGAGACTTTTGGCCACAATTTTACGAAAAAGAAATCGTGAAAATGAAAGCAGGCGATAAGAAGTCAAAAAAGAATCAGTTAAAGCGAAAGATACGCGATGCTTTGATCAAACGTACTGATGATTTCTTCGTTGCAGAACTGGCCAAAACTGGAAAGAAAAAATCCAAAGATGAAATCGAATTGGATCCGGTTTTCGAGCCAGACTTTTTATCGTCGCCTGAAAAATTCAAACTTTTTCAAGAACAGCACCGATTGAAAATCGATTCATTCGAAACCGCATCCGCAAGCGCTGATTTTTTACTAGATCAGTTGCTTAAGTACAAAGAAGAAAAATAAAATCATTACTGTTAATCCAACCGAATAATCGTAACCCATTGTATGCAATTTAAATTTACTTTTTTTCCATTTCAGTTTACTAAAATTTAAAAAAAAAGCCCAACAATATTTTCAAATCATTAAAACATCATCAAATTGTGGTTTTACCTTTTACCGTCAACAATTTTCCACAACACAACAATCAATTTCAATTCTGAAAAAATCGACCTTTGTTCAGAATATTCCTCAAATAAATCCTCATTTATATTTTACGGGCAAATGGGCAATACATTATAAAACATGTGTCCATGGAACATTCTCAAATCAATGTTAATTTCATTAAAAATACTGCGCCACGTCAGCCAAATCGAATCAGTTCATTCTAAACTACAAGCAAAATAACACTGCCAAATCTGTTAGCTCCTAATATTCCAAATTTTCACAATTTGGCACTATTAATTTGCCATTTGTTCATCGACGGCCAATTTCGAACCGGTCACATTCTTCACGATCCAAACACCTTTGCAGTCGCTCCATCGACAGCCGACATCCATTCGATTTGCCCATATTCCATTCCATGGTTGTCCAGTGACGTCACCGAACCTTCTCGATTGCCCTGGAAAGTAGGCGAACGCACCGATCACATTCTTCAATTGATTTTCCTCGATCCACTACAATAACTGTGGGTGCTTCTACAATTATTTTCGGACCACTACAATTAATTCTTGGTTACTTCAATTATTAAAACACGGTTTATAGCAGTTTATAGCAGTTTTATTCCCATATTATAAACAATAAACTCCCCTGGAGCCTAATAAGTTGTTGAAAACATCAAGGATCGGATGACTGATTTGAATCCTACATTTTTTCTACAATTTTATGGAACCTAGCAACAAAAGAGGAAGATTCAGTTTGTGGAAATTTCAATTTGTGGCCAAGATTTGAGTTTTATGAATTTTGGAGCAATTTTCAGGACTCGTCTCAATAACGAATTGATTTTAATTCTACAATTTATCTACAATTTTTTGGAACCATTCTTCATTCGAAAAAAAATTCGATTTGTGGAAAATACGTTTTTTGACCAAGATTTGAGTTGTTCCATTTTATAGCAGTTTTTCGATAGCCGAAAAAAGTAAAAACACTACACACAAAACAATCTTTTCCTATTTTAAGAAAAATATTTTCTTGTATAGGGAATAAGAAAAAAAAAGTCTTAATTTTTAAGTCTCCCATATAAAATATATGTATCAAACAGAAAACACTTTTCTTAATTTCTTGAGTCTCAAGTAATTCATCTCAATATTGAGTTTTGAACGAAGGAAAAAATCCGTTGATGTTTACGATCGTCGATACCATTGACAGCGTGCAAAAACGGATACTACTGTGTTCTCTTTCTGCTGCATTCAAAATTCACGCGGTAGCATACTGTTTGCGATCTTTCTCTTCGCCTATTCTTTCGTGTGAAGTCTCCGCTCACTTGCTGTTGTTTGCTTTGTATGTATATTACTCGATCTCTTTCTCTCGCTGCTATGTATTCAGTTCCTGCGATGTGTATGCAATATTATCGCTCCGGTATGCGACTCATTTACGTCTACGTATTGTATGCGTGAGTCTCCATCGTTTGGCGCCATCTGAAGACGCGAACATGAATTGTGTATACGAACATTTGATGTTCGACATGTAAAAACCAATTTAAATCAGAGAATTGCGTACAAAAAATTAAAAAATAGATAAATGACGATATTAGAAATAAAATAATTGCATATTCTTAAAATATTTCTTCAGAAAATAAACAAAATAATACATATATATAATACACAATCATTCTTTCACATTCTCCACGCGTTCATTGCACCACTCCCCACTTTTACATACACTTTCTCCATGCGATTTGACATTTGTTTGTTTAAGTTTTTGCATCTGCTTGATGTGTCAAATCCAAGCGATCAAAACAAAATTAATTTCATAATCAACAAACCCAGCAGAAAAGACTGTAATGCGGGTTTAAAATTGTTTACAGCAAATGAGATTCACAGTCCGATTCCAATATCATCGCCAATTTATTTCCATTTTTTACTCTCGATTCGTTGAAAATCCATTGAATTCACACGGTTCTCACATCGGCGATCTTTGTTGTGTCGATGCGAAAAGATATTATTTTTTTTCCGTTTCTGGCCAATTTTCGATTGCTTTACGTTTGCGATAGTGTTAAATTGAAAACGCAACGTGATGAGAGAGAAAAAAGAAATCGAATCAAAATGAGAAAAAAATGAAAAAAAAACTCCTTCATCATCATCAGGTGGCTCGGCAAGAGCATCTCCTGTGTCGTGGCTAAGCAATTTGAGACATACAGAGCCAACGAAGAAGAGAGCTCGATGCCACATCTGCCCCTATGCAAAGGATGCAAATGATCATGCAACAAAATGTGATAAGTGCAAACGGGCCGTTTGCACACAACACCGCTTCTTGATCTGTGATACCTGCTGTGGAATTCCCCAGTAGGAGGCAAAAAAATATGAAATCATTCATAAATAGCTATAAATATCGTATTTTTACAATGATCAAGTTTTTAGATGAAAAAAAATTTTCTTCGTTTTTTTACACGTTTATAGGAATAACGCATTTTTATAAAAATATTTATATAACTTGACTTTTTTGAATGAATAATAAACGATTGAATCGATTTCAGCAATTGAAGAATTTTATCATTTGTTGTTGATTTTATATGTTATTTCTTATGTAGTGTAAATTTTACACTCCAACGACAGATACGTGATTATATTGGAGCAGCGGACAAGGGTTAAGGGCCCATCAATGTCGTTTTTGTTCCCAAACAATAATAAACTTGACAACAAAAGCAAAATGACTCTTTATTTCAGTTCGAAACGTTTCATCATCTCATCGTATTATGATCAATATGAAATGATATCGATTGATCTCTTTTGAAACGATATTTTTGAACACAATTATATGGTTTTGGCATTTTGTTCGTTCTAATCGACAATTTTTGTTTTTGCAGAAAAACCTCAATTAAGATAAAGCTGTTGAAATCCGATTCTCTAAATATGACTGCAATCTTCTGAGTGTATTCAGTAGCTATTGTTTAGTGGTATATGAATGGTGTTTAAAAGATTTCCATCCAGAATGGTTAGCAATTGGTCAAACGTTGTGTTTATATTTCTGTCGATATGTGTAATAGCACACACCTATCAAATCATTCCAAGAATAGTGAATGGTGATTTGGCATACAAAAGTCAATTTCGTTTCTACACCTTCCTTCAGATCTACGAAGTGGATTCCACAAAGGCAGTTGGCTGCGGAGGAGCACTGATCACATCGGAATTTGTACTTACAGCTGCGCACTGTTTGGCAAAGGCTCGAAAAGTGCGTGTTCTTCTCGGTGTTACCACACTTAACTCTTATGAAGAGCCCGGAATGGATGTGATTACGGATTCTCAGATCCACATCGATTTCACATTTACCCGCAATATATAGCAATGTTAATTTGGAATGATGTCGCCTTGATTCATTTGCCACGGCGAGCAAAATTGAGCCGATACGTTATGCCAATCGAACTACCCAATGATTGTTCGCCCAACGAGAACTTAGACAGCATTGTAATGGGTTTCGGGCGAACAGGGACAAATGAACCATCATCGATTGATCTTCGATTTGCATCGTTACATACGACTTCAATAGGAGAATGCCGTCGACAATTCCCATTTTTGTTTTTGAGGCGATCGGTTCTATGTGCGAAATCTTATGGAAGCAAAACACAGGCTATTGCTAAGGTATATTATTTCGCATGTTTTTTTTGTTCAAATGAATTTATACTTTATCTTTGTTTGTTCATTTCATTTAATCGAATTGAAATTTCCAATTTACAGGGTGATTCTGGTTCTCCATTGGTTCGAACAAAAGATAACAAATTGATTGGTGTTGGCAGTTTTAGTAAGCCCAATTGCAATCAACGAAAACCACAAGCTTTCACAAACATAATCCTCTATCACAAATGGATATCGGATATAACTGGCCTTGAATTACCAAACTGTAAATTTTTTTCGAAATAAAATTTGATTTTCAATATGATTTGTTATGTTGACATTTTATTTGTTTCGTTCTGTTTATGATTCCATTCACTGTCCAAGTATGGAATCGCTTGAAATCTTTTTTTATAATGTGTAGCCCTAATCGTTTCAACTTCAGTCAAACTTTGATAACCCGGGCATTTTTGTCACAAATTAATCTTTTGCACAATGGCGAATTCGGTTTTTAGATTCATCGATACTATTGTTGTCGAGTGATTGGCACAAACTAATTTGTGAGACGTAAAAAAGAAAGTATATTTTTTCCGCCTTTTCCCGGGCGTATAGAAGTAAAGTAATAAGTCTATCTTATTACTGTAATAAGTCCATCTTATTACAGTAATAAGATTGTAATTGTAATAAGATTGTAATAAGTATCTTATTACTTTCGGTGCAAAAAAAATCGCAAAAATAGTTTCATGTAAAAAACATGTCAATTTTTTTCAACATTTTTTCGACTGACAAAAATCATATCAAATTTTGCAAGACACATTTTTTTTCAACATTTTTTCGTCTGACAAAAATTGACATGTTTTTTACATGAAACTTTTTTTGCGATTTTTTTTGCACCAAAAGTAATAAGATACTTATTACAATCTTATTACTGTAATAAGATGATCTTATTACTTATTACAATCATCTTATTACAATCTTATTACTTGTAATAAGATGAGTAATAAGTATTAAGTCTATCTTATTACAGTAATTAGATAGACTTATTACTTATTACTCATCTTATTACAAGTAATAAGATGCGTAATAAGTAATAGGTCATCTTATTACAGTAATAAGTAGGTAATAAAGTAATAAGAATTACATTTTTTTACTTCTATACCCGGGCGTAACTGAATTGAGATATATTTATGTTCAACAGCATTTCCGAAGACAATTTTTTGTTATCTCATTTCAGTTACTCGCACCTAGAAAAAGGCTGAAAAATATATATAAATCGCATACTTATTCGGTATCATTTAGAGATAGCTTAAATCGATAATTTGAAGCTGATATGATTCAATTGTTAAATCATTCATTGTTTACTGTTAACTCGTACAAGCTGTACTGTGTCTTATTTGGAAAATCATTTGCAAATTAAAATCCCAAGCAGTTGCATCCACGTTGCTACAAAAAGTGCATTTATTAACAACATGAAATTGATAATAGTAGCGTTAATAACAATTTCTCGCTTTGCGATCGAAGATGCTTCTGAGATTGAGCCAAAAATAGTTCGCGGCTATACAGCCCGTGCTGGTCAATTTAAATTTTTTGCATTTCTTTCGATTACATTGACGAGTGGCGAGAGCTCAGCCTGTGGATCGTCTCTTATAAGCGACGAATGGTTGATTACAGCAGCGCATTGCATAGCTGATGCAAGAAAGTTGACCGCACATTTGGGTATAGCGGATCTGAGACATTTATCAGCGGACCCTCCAATAGTTGGACACGTGGCTATTCCTGTTTTAAAATTCGGGTTATACCCGCATCCCGGATTTTTCTGGCCGATTGCATGGAATGATATTGGTAGGTGAACTTTGAAATTTTCATGAATTTTCAAGAATTTGATCTTTAATATTTTTTGTTGTAGCTTTGATTCGATTGCCACGTAAGGTTCAATTTTCGGATTACATTCAACCCGTGAAACTGTCAACAACGTGTAAAATACCGGAAAAAACTGAATCTATCGCGATTGGAAATGGGGCGATCAACGATAAAAGTGGTCTATCACCGCAGTTGCAATATGCCATTTTGAAAACGGCCCCATTGAAAGTTTGTCGAAAAGTGTATCCACTTTTGTTTTGGAGAAAGTCAGTGATTTGCGCATCCAATGGACTGCAACAACAAAGCATTTGCCGTGGTGACAGTGGAGGTCCCCTCATTTCGAGATCAAATCATACTTTGATTGGTCTTTCATCTTTCGTACGACTAGGTAACATTCAGGAAAAAAAAGTGTTAATTGACTAGTAATTGTTTCATTCTTTACAGAGGGATGTGAAACTGGATTGCCTCAGGGGTTTACAAACATCCACTCTTACTTCGAATGGATTCGTCAAGTTACTGGTTTAGAAGTGCCAAACTGCTAATTTTATATGATTACACTGATTCTTGATGAGTTTGGAATGCCACACAATTGGACTTATCACAAGAAATACCAACGATTCACGAGCACGATAACGTTGTTGATAAAGTCAATTTTAATTTCTGGAGAAAAAAAAACATTTTTTTTTTCAAGGATACTGATTAATATCTCTTTTTTTGTTTTTACACATCAGAGACTTTTAACGACGATTTCGAGAAAAATTGACATCATCTCTACCTAGCAACTGATATAATTGCTGAAAATAATAATAATAAAAATGATCTCAATAAATAATCATGAATTTTTTCTAACTGCGCAATTTATATTTTCAACAAGTGAACGTATATGAGTTCAGAAGTAAATTTCGACGTCAATAATTTTGTGTGCTTTTTGTTATGGATAATCGACGTATCGACACGCGCTGCTATAGAATTCCTTTGAAGTTGTCAAATCACGTGAGAAATGAATATATTCACTTTCAAGGTACCTTCGTTTTTTTTGTAGCTTACAAGTAAATATAACAATGAATCATCGATTAACGATGGAAATCACTTTTCTTCTGGAAGAAATTTAATTTTTCCACTATCAAATTCTCTCCAATAAATTGATTGTATAATATAAATAACACCATGGTGCGAGGATTTGTGTCGAATGTAATGAATTCGGTTTTCACATAGTACATTGAGAGGAGAAGTATGAATATTGGATTGAATAAGGACTTGTTTTTCGCGGGAAAACAATTCAAATGTTCCAATCAGGTTTCATTATTCTTCAGAAAAGAGGTAAGAAAAATACATGGATGCGATGGTTCTCGGAAGAGCTCTGTGTAGTGAAAACTTTTGAATACTTATCGTTGGACATTTCCGAGAAAACTCTCTTCAATAATTATTGAAATAACAAACATCGCCGCCCAAGTATCTGCAAATGTGAAACGCAATAATGAATCAGGTGTAAACGTGGATATTGAATCAATAATTGGACACGTTTTTATTTTTGTTCATCATTCCACTTGAGATCTCCTTTGTGATTCACACACGGTGTAATGTACGAAAACAAATTTCAATTATTTAAAGAAAAATATCAAAGAATCCCGAGTACTTATCTTGTCGGATAAGTCGTTTGATTGTTATTTTGGTGTTACGCGTGTTTTGTTTGGTTTCGCGTATATAAAAGCAACCAGCACTCGCTCCATTCCGCATCAATCGAAAAGTAATGGCCTTACAAATTGCTTGAACCAAAGACAATTTTCAGTTTATTGAAAATTAAATTATTTTAAAAGCCGTATTTTTTCAAAAAATATCTTTATTACATCGAATAAATCCAATTTAAAAAAATGGTGAAGTTTGCCCTTGTCATTTCGGTTGTATTCTCACTTATTGTAATCAATACTGCGTTTGAAATCCATCCAAAAATTGTACGGGGATATTCGGCTTATTCAGGACAATTTCCCTCTTTTGCATTTTTGGAAGTTCAAAATGGTAGTCCAGCGAAAATGTCAGCGTGTGGAGCTTCCTTAATCAGCGACCAGTGGTTAATTACGGCTGCGCATTGTCTACAGAATGCAACGAAATTGGTGGTACATTTGGGCAAAACGGTGTTGGATAAACCTGAGCACACACACGTCCCCATTTCGGTCAAAAGGAAAAATTTCTTCATCTTTCCACGATATGCACCAAATGGCGTTCTGCATGATATTGGTTTGTATTCCTAGTAAAAATGAGTTTGAAATTTTGTGCAATCAAAGTTAACTTCCAAATCATTTTTCCCATTTTCACGCAGCTTTGATTCGTTTACCACGGAAGGTTCGTTTCACCGAATACATTCGGCCATTGCCATTACCTACCGTGTGCAAAAATCCTGAAAACGTTGAATCTTACACCGTTGGTTATGGTGCAACCAGCGACCACTCGGGAGTATCTCCACAATTGAAGTTCGCCCTTCTGACAACTCTGCCAGCACATGTCTGCCGTCAAGTCTATCAAAATAGTTACCCTGGAAGAACGGTCATTTGTGCTTACAATAACGTGCACGGTCAATCGGTTTGCAGGTACTTTTCCAGATTATAATTTGCATAGCCCTTAGTTGTATAAGTTTTGGTGTTTATTTTAAATTCTGTTTGATATTTTAATACAACAACAACAACAATAACAACAACAATAAACATTTAAAGACCATCAATACCTTTCGGTGTATGGTCTGTTTCGAATCAGTAAATCAACCTCTAACAATTCTCCTCCAAGCAGTTCTATCTAGAGCTAATCTACTGGTTTCTACTCCCAATTCACAAGGTTGCTGCAATAGCAATATACCAAAGGAGATCCTGGTGGCACCGATTGTAATGTGTTGAAAAATACATTGTAACACATAGGATTTTACTATCGGTGCCACAAGGTGTCGCTAGTGGTAATGCTCTTGCAGCAACGGTGTGTCCCAATTCTAATCCCCTTTCATTCAAATCGGATTTAACTGAATCTATAAAACGTCTACGGATTCTACCTCTATTTCTACGTCCATCAGCCTCTGAATACAACACTTTTATTGATATTTTAATTTTAATTTTTTAATCTAGTTTTGTTGCTAATTATTTTTCTTGATTTTATTCATAGAGGTGACAGCGGCGGACCATTGGTTTCGCGAACAGACGGCAATTTAATTGGCATTTCATGCTTTGTAAGAAAAGGTAAGATCACAAAAATTAAATTTTTCAAATGAAATATCAGTAACAAATTGATTCTTTGTTTTGTAACAGACGGATGCGAATTGGGCATTCCACAGGGTTTCACAAACGTATATCCATACCTTGGCTGGATTAGCTATGTCACCGGTATGAATCTGCCGAAATGTTGATCTGAATACCATCGACATCAATACACCCATCAAAAGTACTTATACAGTTTGATATTAAATGTCAACCAGTTCACATTCGAAGTGACAGAGCTTACGATCATCATTTTATACGTTGACTCCATGTATTTTTTGCACACAATAAATTAAAAAATTGTAGAAACGAACTAATTGATAAAGGCTGCGAAACAAATCTATATAGATGATTCTTTCATTGTTTCCATATCTCCCGGAAATGTATTATTCGCCTGTCTCCGCTCTAGAGTCGTCGCTATCTTTAGAATGCAATCAGTGCTACCCAAGCGCGACTCCACACTTAGCTTCTAAATGTGAAACCGTAGTAAGTGTGGGCATACGTTTTGCGAATAAGCGACAAAGAGAATGGAAACAAGTGCGCGTGTATTAGTCGCTACATTGAGAAGCATCGCATTAGGCTACTCACTACCACACGCGCACTTGTTTCCATTCTCTTTGTCGCTTATTCGCAAAACGTATGCCCACACTTACTACGGTGTCACATTTAGAAGCTAAGTGTGGAGTCGCGCTTGGGTACTTAACAAATTTGATTTTAATCTTCAAAGATTCGATTACAACTCTCGCCAATATTGGATCATATACAACAACGCTGGATCATCTAATACTGAACGCATCCATTCACATTGGTTCAATATGAAACAAAAAAAATTGCGTCAAATTTGAAATTAATGAAAAATATATTTCGCATACCCATGAACCATTTGCGGAGAAATTCAGTGCACAGCGGAGCTGTGCGGAGTTCGGCGGAGATGCCATACATACACTATATCTAAAGCAGTGCGCTCATGGCTACTTAGATGTGTATTGAACAATAGAAATGTAAACACAGCAAAGAGTGCTGTTTCGCTCACACGTATAGCGTATGTACGGTATCTCCGCCGAACTCCGCACAGCTCCGCTGTACACTGGATATCTCCGCAAATGGTTCATTTGGGTAGCAGTAAACCTAGGGGGAAAGAACTGAGTAAATGAAAATATAAATATTGTGAATAATCGCATATTCTACCGAGTTTGGATCAATACGCGTCAATGCATGTCAATGCGCTGAATAACTAGCTGCGAATGCATGCGACGAAGCAACCGAAAAAAAACAACAATAACACTACGGAACGCAATGCAAATGCCTGTGAATATTTGTCAATACGTGTCAATGAAGTAAATATACCAATAGTTCTTTCCTCTTAGCAGTAAACACACTCATGTCAGCGAACCTTGTTCTGTTAGATTTCAAAGTTCATAATGTCGAACTTACACTTTACCATAGAATTTGAATACATATAACAAACGAATATGAGTACACGTGCAAAAAGAATCACTGGAAAAAGTTGAAGCGTAATCAGTAAACGCACTCATTCAGTTGATCGATTACCTAATTATCTTAATTTAAGATTCTTAAAGCCGCATTTTATAAGCAAGTGCGTTTGTACGGACAGGATATTTATCTCGATGAAGCACGAACAATATTCAATCGTACAAATTTCAACAGGCACTTCAGCAACCTATATCAATTGCGGCAAACCATTTACCGTTAATTTCAAACATTATCTTCTTTAAAACTAATAGCTAATGGTTTAAATGCGAGGTGTATTTGTTGGATTCAGTTGAGATTTAAAACGGTGCCAAACAAAGCGGAACTGGTGACAAGAAATAACACTAATATAACTTCATTTAAATTTTTAGTCAGAATGATAAGTTTCGCTGTTTTATTTCTAACAATATTTTCAATGCCTGCTAACAATTGACTTTTATATCTGTCAAAATGTTCGCAGTGCCTCAGTAGTCGTTTTTGTAATGTAAAATACATTCAAAAAATTCAATAGAAAAAAATCATAACG